GTTGCTCCCGCGCCTCGCTCAGCCAGTGAGCGGGAACCGGTCTGTATGTGGGAGCCGAACCCTCGGGCGGGAGCGCCGCCGCGCTTCCCAAGCGGCGCACTATCCAGTGCACCACCGGGCCGGCCCCATCATGCATTTTCTAAGAATAAAGACTTTTTTCTATATAACCACAATACCAATATTATACCTAGGAAAGTTAATCATAATTCAATAATATCATCTAATATACAGTCACATTCAAATTTCCCCAATTGTCCTCTCAATTTTTTTATGGCTATTTTTTTCTTCACCCTATATCCAATGAAGGTTCATATATTGCACTTAGTTGTTGTATCTCTTTATGCTCTTTTAATCAAAATAGTTCTGCCTTCTCCTTTGGTTTTTTTTTTTTTTTTTTTTTTCTTCTTCTTTTTGGTTTTTCATTTGTTTTTCATGATATTGAAGAGTTTGAATAGTCCAGGCCAGTTATCTTACAGATTGTCCCACATTATCATTTTGTCTTACTATTTCTTCATACTAGATTTCAGTTAATATTTTTGGTAAGAAAATTACATTGGTGAAGTTCTGTTCCCCTTACTGCATAATTACTAAGTGGATCCATGGATAGGTTGTATCATTATTGACATTGCTAGATTTGATCACTTGATTAAAGTGGTGACCTTCAAGATCCTTCCACTATAAAAATATATTTTCTTCTTGTAATTAATGATACCTACATGGTGATACTTTGAAATCATATGAATATTTTCTTCCCCAACATTCTTTATTTTACTTTTTACTTCATTTTTGTCTTCTCCCTAATATTTAAGCTCCACAAGGGCAAAGATTTTTGTCTTTTTTTTTTTTATTTATTGCTGTATCCCTATGAAAAGTATTTGGCACATAGTAGACTTTCAATGAATACACTGAATGAATCGTTACTAATTGAATACATCTGTATTATCTGTGAGACTATGAACAAGTTAAGGGCAAACCTGATGTTTTCTTAGTCTTTGTATTTGCACAAAATAAGAACAGTACTTAGGACAGAAAGATTTAATTAATGCTATTTTATTTTAATTTTTAAAGACCATGGCTAAATCAGTTACAACATATAGGCCTTACTTGTTTTCCTCATGTATAAAGTGACAAAAACTACATCTATTTAACTATATTACTATAAGAAATACTGAAAGTTATTTTAACATTTCTTTTAAAAATAAAAGATAAGGCAAAAATTCTAATTTGAAATTCAGGGCTCTCAGGAAAAAAGCATTAAATTACGTAATATATTATGTATTAATTTTTGCTGTGCTAGCTTTCATGTTTAATGGTATTTTACTGACAAATGCTAAAATATCAAATTCCTTTTTAAGCAATACTAAGTTACTTTACCTGTAATGCTTTTAATGTTTCCTTCAATCCTTCTATTTCTTTTTCTTTTATTTCTATAGTAAGTTGATGTTTTCCCTTTAAGTAAAAAACTACATTTCAATACTTTACAATGTAAATGATATTATAAAAGGGGAAAAATACAGTTGTCCCTCAGTATCCACGTGGGATTGGTTCCAGGACCTCCCTCGGATGCCAAAATCTGAGAACGCTCAAGTCCCGAATATCAAATGCTGTAGTTTGAATGTAACCTATGCACGTCTTCCCAGCATACTTTAAATCATCTCTCAATTATTTATAATACCTAACACAATGTAAATGCTATGTGAATAGTTACTATACCACATTGTTTAGGGGATAGTGACAAGAAAAAATCTCCGTACATGTTCAGTACAGACACAATTTTTTTTCCAAATATTTTTGATCCATAGTTCATTCAATCCACAGATATGGAACCCACAGATACAGAGGGCCAACTGTGTAAGAGCCCAAGAACCAAAATCTCTACTTTAAACTTAATAAGTCACAGGCTTTAACCTTGTATCTGCACTACAAATTACATTTCTTATGACTTCAAAATATCATAAAATTACAATAAGGCCTTTATATGGTTATAATTATGAAATGGAATATCTTAACAAATCATTTTATCAGTAGAGCATTCCTACCTGGGAACTTATGAAAACTATATAATTATTTAATTCATACAGCTAGAATAAATATATTCTAATTAATAAGCTATGGGTGCATTTGTCTTATGAATATAAGGATATAGGAAAATTTATTAAAGAAGGTATTTTGCTAAAAATAATGAACTATAAATTATTAATATTATTAATGGTATGCTCATTGACATAATAAAATATGTATCAATTATTAACTAGCTAGAGAAATTATTTCATGCCAGAAAATTTCTAGGTTTGTTGGGAGTCATATCTCCTTTGCCAGTTGGTCTGCATCCAGATGCAAATCACCTTTTTAAAAAAACAACATTGATGAAAGTCATTTCAATGTTTTTTAAAAAGGTAATTACATTGAAAAAGCACTAGAAACATATTATAGTTAATAGAAACATTGCAGTAGAGTGAAAGAACATTAATTTGGGGGCTGAAGAGGCCTGGGTTCTAGTTCCAACTATGCCACTTCAAAGTGAGACCTTTGGGCAAGTCATTTAATCTTGCTAGGCCCTCAGTATTCTCAACTGTAAAATGACAGAGGTCAAGTAACATTATTATATTGGGTACTTTCTGTTTCTAAGATTTTAAGCAGTCAACCATATCCATTAGTTTATTACTAATGCTCTTTTCTATTACGGTAAACAATTGATAATTAAATGTATTTAGCTATGCATTAAATTATTTTTAAAAATTAATAAATACCTTCTCTTCTTCCAAGGCACACATCTTCATTTGCAACTGATAAACAATTTAAAAAATTAAAATACAGGTAAGTAAGCTGTTAATAGCGACTTACACTGGTCAGTAAGACTACAAAAACATTTTACATGTCTATATTGTTTGAACTTAAAATATGACTTTCACATTCAGAAAGTAAAATAAAGATATAAAAGGAGGAAAGAAACAGTCACCAAAGTAAATGAAAATTTTAATTACATTGATTAGAGATACCAAGCATCACTGAAAGTTTAGTTTTTCCCTCCAGAAATTTTTATTCTTAAATGTCTAAATATTTTGCCATCTACTCCTATATAATAGCATGTATCATTTTCTGAAGGTATCATTTTATGAAATCAGTATTAGTTGTATTTGCATTGACAATAATGTTCTGAAAATTTTTTAAAATGCAAGTGGCAGTCCAATAAATAAATAACTTTTTGAAAAATAATGACATTTTAAAACAGTAAAACTAAAGTACATGTGCCAAAGGAAAATAATGAAATATTCTAAGCAGCATAAGGATTTTAGGCCAAATTGTCAAAAAATAAAAATCTTCTTTGGAACTTCCCTATCTTCATTTCTGCGCTCCTCACTTGCATTCAAGAATCCTTTTCTTAAAACAAACACAAATGAAAAAAGACAAAAACAAAAACAAAAAGGAACCCAAGAGCACCTTCTCCTCTTTAGATATCTGAGTATTCTTGTCTTGCCCAAAGTCCCTTAGGAAGGCAGAGACTTAGACTTGCTCTCTCCCAGAGAATACTATACTACACATTTGACTTCTGCTTCCTTATTTGTCAATTATAACTCCCATAACTTTGGTTAGACCTATCTCAGATTAAAGCAAGAAACTCTGTCATTTGCTTAAACAAATTCATACTAATGTGTAAATTATCAATAACTTTAACTCTTTTAGTGATTTAAATTGTACAGGTTTATTTCCTCATTTCATTTTCTAAACACACACCTGCATAGAAGTGAAGAAAAAAGAAAAGAAAAAGATAAAAAAAAAAAAAAAGAAGAAGAAAAAGGAAGAAAAAATAATGATGGTAGGAAAGATACAAGGGAAAAAACTTCCAGAGGATATTTTACGTAAGTATATTTTCTTAAACTAATATTTTCTAATTAGGGACTGAAGAGAAACTTGAGGCAGGTAAGAAGAGCTTCAGAATTCAAATTAAATGAAGATGTTGCTGTTCATTTCTTTAAAATCTTTTTTTTTTCTATTTTTCTACTAGTTTTTCATAGTTACTGGTGGTTGATATTTATGGACGCTTCAAGGTGTGATAATCACCTCCTCTCATCCTTTACATCTCCTGACTTGCATCTCAGCCTTTCATCAGTGTTATGACTATGATTTGGGAATAGGGGTAATGTGGAAAAGGTAAGATCCTGGATACTCTAATTAAAGAGAGAAAGGGGAAAGGGGAGAGAAAGAACAAGAATACATATGTCCGACCATCTAAATTATTTAGGACAGATGAAAACATTTCCTCCATCTTCAGGAAAATGGTTTTTTCAATTTCCTTTCTTAACTAACTCATTCTACTACTTTATACTCTTTATTATCCATTGTGATTCAAAATAACTTTATTCACTTCCTACTTCCCTTTTCTCCTTTGTGTGTTCCATGAGTATGGTATGAAAAACAGCTTGCCATAATATTTACGGGAGAGAGAGGAAAGGCAATTTTAAAATTGTAGTTTTATCTATCTTTATGAAATTACCTGCTTTTTAAAAACTGCCATTGTTTCTTTGTGTTGCTTTGCTAATGCTTCCTTTTGATTCTGAAGAGTTTCCTGTTTAGAACATTATGAGAAGTTAAAACATAAATTTTAGCAACTCTTTCAGTTTTAAATCTTGAGTTCACAATACAAATAAAAGTTAAACATACTAATTGCATATATTTTTTCATGCTCTTGAAATGCAACTTTAAACCAATTTAATGATTTTTCAATTGTCATGGAATCATCATATTTTGCTTCTAGTTGCTTCTTCATGATAAAAAGAAACACATTGCTTTTTAAATTTTAAACTCTGAACATGGCTTGCTCCAAAGCTCTCTTCAAGAAGTTATTAAAATGAACAGTCTAGTACACAAGCAGACTATAGTCTTAGGGTTTCCAGAGAAATCAATTTTATTATGTAAGCACAAAAATACTTACATGACAACATATGCGTTTAAATTCATTAAAATAAATTTTTACAAAACCAAAACTACCACAGGGTTTTTTCGAAAAAAAGCCACATATATGATTCGACTTCTTTTTTTCCCCACTCTCCCTTTTTTGGAAGTTGTATATACTCTGTTCTTTAGATGCAAGATGACTTTAAATTTTTTCTTCTATTCTTATCAATGCTAATAATTCTAACAATTCAAAAATTAAGTCTAAAACTGGCAACCACTTACAAAATTTTCAGTTATTTGCCTCCAGCTTTCTAAATAATACATTGATTTAGCAATTTTAAAAGTTTATCTATTGACCTCCTATTATGATAGTTGGAAGTTTACCTTTCTTATATGATTGTTACCCCACATCTCTCCCATTCTTCCAACAGAGTTATATCAAAATTTTGGCTTAAATCAATAGTCAGTATTTACATGGTTATCACTATGTAATTATTATTCAATGCTGAGCAATGTAGGATACCATGATTACATATTTATTCCTATACAACTTTTTCTGAAGTTAGTAATTAATATTTTAATTCCCATAGCTAATTTAAAAACACAATACTCCCTGTTCTCAGATCTATATCAATTGGTTCATATTCTCAGATGCAAAAAAAAAAAAAAAAGTATTGAATAATAAAGGCAAAGTGAGAAGATCCAAAGAATGACTTAGGAAATCCCAAACTGCATAGGAAACGAGATAGATTTAGAAAAGCTGTAGATGCTAGACAAAACCTTTCAGAGGCTATCCCCAAAGTTTGTCCTGTGAAAATAGTAAAGTAGGGCCGGCCCGATATTTTAATTCCCATAGCTAATTTAAAAACACAATACTCCCTGTTCTCAGATCTATATCAATTGGTTCATATTCTCAGATGCAAAAAAAAAAAAAAAAGTATTGAATAATAAAGGCAAAGTGAGAAGATCCAAAGAATGACTTAGGAAATCCCAAACTGCATAGGAAACGAGATAGATTTAGAAAAGCTGTAGATGCTAGACAAAACCTTTCAGAGGCTATCCCCAAAGTTTGTCCTGTGAAAATAGTAAAGTAGGGCTGGCCCGGTGGCACACTGCTACAGTGCGCCACTTGGGAGCGCGGCGGCCCTCCCGCCGAGGGTTCGGATCCCACATACAGACCGGCCGCTCACTGGCTGAGCGAGGTGCGGGCGCGACACTGAGGGTTGCGATCCGTTGCCGGTCACGAAAAAAGACAAAAAGGAAAAAAAAAAGTAAAGTAGACTCTAATCCAGTCCTACAAGCAAAGAAGGAAAGAATGAGTCCATTAGATTTCAAGGATAGGTTCTTTGAGAAGTAGATTTTGAAGATGTTACCTCCAGCTCCCTCCTTACTTTTTGAGAACACCCTTAACATCCTAAAGTAGGGAATTTAATCTGCAACAAAAATTGGAATGGAAAATAGCTCCATTACCAGAACTCCAAATCCAGTCTTTAAAAAAATTGTTAGAACGAGGAATAAACTGATTTTCTTACAGATAAAACAACTAAATGCTCCAACTATAGTCATCAAGCACTGGAGGAGGGAGCCTCTTAGTAGAGACACCTATAGATATTTATTATAAGCAGAAAGGACATTGGAAAAATAACTGTCCAGTTCTAGCTAAGAAAATAAAGGAAAAAAATCAAGTGGGCAAATCAATGACACTGCTCTGGAGAGAAATCATGCATTTATTTCATCCTTGAACTTGCAAAGAGAAATTTCTCTAAATATTAAAAGAAACTTCTCCCTCAGAATCAATGAGCTACTCAGATAGTGAACATGTCTAATAAACCACAGATACTCTCCCCATTTCAGCCTGTAACTGTTACTGTTGGACTCCCAAGTGAGAAATATCATTTTCTCCTTTATGACACCACACTCATTATCTTAAAATATAGGGATCTAATATGTAAATAGGATTGCAAAATTATCTGATTTTTTTGAGATCCCTGAAGACTTTCCTGTTCATAACCAGATCATAGTTAATTTGGATACTGACTTACTGGTGGTAACTTTGTATATGATAAAACCAAATTGAGGGCCGAGCCCGTGGCGCACTCGGGAGAGTGCAGCGCTGGGAGCACAGTGGCGCTTCTGCCACGGGTTCAGATCCTATATAAGGATGGCCGGTTCGCTCATTGGCTGAGCGCGGTGCGGCCGGTCTCAAAAAAGACAAAAAAAAAAAAAAACCAAATTGAATATTTCTATGAAGTGGCACTTTTTGTGGGCAAAAAGTTTTACTGATATTGGCAGAAAGATTCAGATCAAGTCATTTGAAGTTTACAAAATACCTCTAAAACCAGAAGCTAAAGAAGAACTAAAACCAATAGTCCAAAGGCCTAATAGAGAAAGGCTGAATCATAATCATATCTTATACGAGTCTTTAAAAAGTGTTGTTTCCCAATCAAGGAACCCAATTGGTAAAAATAAAGATTTGTTCAGGACCTTACGGCCACAAATAAAATGATCACTTTAACCATTTCTTTGTAGTACTGAGCCCAAATACTATTTTTATCGTGTTTCGTGAGGCTACATACTGTACTACTGTAGATATGTGTTCTGCTTTCTATAGTACCCCTTTAGATCAGGAAAGTCAATACCTATTTGTTTCTTTCCTAGGAAAGACAACAATTTACCTGGACAGTTATGCCTCAGGTATTTACTAAGGAATCTTAAATTTCCCTGTTAGAAAGTTTATAGACTTATATAATATGTGGACAAGTTTTCACTATGTTCTAAAGATGAGGAGAGCTCTAAGACAGACTATTTATCAACTTACTGTTTTAGCTTGGAAAGGGCATGAAAATTCCAAAGAAAGTTTAGAGTTTTGTCAGAACAAAGTATACTATTTAGTATAATTTATACTAAGGGGACAAATCTATAACTCCTGATGAATTATAAGTCATTCAATACTTTCCAAGGTTGGTTACCAAGAGACAATTAATCTAGGTTTCACTGGCTAGTACAGACACTGAGTTCCAAACATTTCTGAAATCACCACATATCTATATAAAGTCCTCAATAAAGGACCCTCCCTTAGGAGATGTGAACAAGAATTTTATGATTTAAAAATAATTCTCCAATAGCCGTCCCCCTCACTTGGGGTCTTCCTAATTGTCATAAAGCTTTCTACCTACTTGTACCTGAACAACGTAGACAAGCCCTAACACTCTAACAGAACACCATGAAAACCATTCCCTTAGACACAGTGGCAAAAGCCAACTCCTTATCTAAGGGCAATATCAGCAGCTGCCAAACTTGTAGAGGCTTCTCCTGACTTGATTTAAGGATCTTGTTTAGATTTGATGGTTCCTCACGCTGGGCCATACTTGTTGCTTACTGAAAACACATTTCCCAGCAAGCAGTTTCACCTCCTTTGAACTTTTATTACTTTCTCTCCCACACATTTCCACTCAGTGCAGTAATACTTTAAAATCTGCTAACAGAAAGACAAATACTGCATGATTTCATTATGTGTGGAATCTAAAAAAGTTGAACTTATACAATTTGAGAGTGAAATGGTAGTTAACAGAAGCTGGAGAGGTTGGAGATAGCAGGAATGGGGAGATGTTGATCAAAGGGTACAAAGTTCTAATTAGAGCAACACTGAGGGTTGCGATCCGTTGCCGGACACGGAAAAAAAGACAAAAGACAAAAAAACCAAACAAAAAATAAAAAATAAAAAAATAAAATCTGCTAACAGAAAGACAAATACTGCATGATTTCATTATGTGTGGAATCTAAAAAAGTTGAACTTATACAATTTGAGAGTGAAATGGTAGTTAACAGAAGCTGGAGAGGTTGGAGATAGCAGGAATGGGGAGATGTTGATCAAAGGGTACAAAGTTCTAATTAGACAGGAAGAATAAGTTCTCACGATCTATTGCACAGCATGGTAACCACAGTAAATAATAATGTACTGTATATTTCAAAATTGCTAAAAGAATACATTTTACTCAATATATAAATACACTCAAACATACTTAAACACAAAATAGCATATCAAAAGTTAGTCACTTAACTTAAAAGTATTCATACCAGAGGCTTTTTATTCACTTCTACATTATTTTGTTATGTCTTCCTCTATTTTAAGATTATAATTTTACTCACTAAGCCATTTATTTAGATGAAAACCTAGCCCCCTGACTTGTACTACCAAACAGAGAAACAAATAGCAACCTAGAAACTTAGTGCACATTTGAATATGAAGACAGCAACTCTGCTGGTGACTTTTGTCTGTCCCTTTAGTAGGATTTTTTTCCCTTTTTGATCAACTTAATGGAGGTATAATTTACATACAATAAAATGTGCCCGTTTTAACTGTACAGTTCAATGAATGCTGACAAATATGTACATCAATGTAACCACCACCCCCAATCAAGATATAGAACATTTTCTTCACCAAAAAGAGTTTCATCTCCCTTTGTAGTCATTCTCTCCCCAGCCCTAAGTAACTACTGGTTGACTTTGTCACTAGAGGTTAATTTTGCCTATTTCAAAATTTCATATAAACTGAATTGGATAGTATGCACCTTTGTGTTTAGTTTCTTTAGCTTACCATGTTTTGAGAATCATACCATTCTATATATCTGTAGTTTGTTCATTTCTGTTGCTAAATGGTATCCCGTTTTA